GGTCAGCAACCTTGGATTTTACATCCTTCTCAGGAATAGCTGGTTTGCTATTTTTACCTTCTACTTTGCTATATGAAGAATCACTACCCTCTTTTCGACGTGATTTTGTTTCAGACTTTGTGCTTGGTACAGATTTCTCTTCTGGAACTTTACTTGCTTTATAATCACTAGTTTTGTCTTTTTGTGTTTGCAAGTCATATTTAACCTCAACCTTACTCATTTTCAAACTGCTTTCTGTATTTTTAACTGAACCAAAGCTAATATTGGTGGTTTCTTGGCTTTTTACTACTGATGTTTCAGTACTTGATGGTGCTTCTTTAATAAGAGATATGGCTTCCTCCTTTGAACCTGTGGGTGAGTCTTTTTCTTCAGCAATGCGAGGAAGATGTTGCGAGGTCCTATCGGATGCCACTATCACACTAACATTCACTGATCCTAAAGGTAAGGGATTCCTATGTTCTAATTTAAATTCACTACTATTAATATGATGGTCTTCATCTGGTGAATTTTCAATCATAGGTACAGAATGAGGGTCTGCATTTACTTTCTTATCCCTACGCTCTGACCGCTGATGCGTATCTATAAAATTAAGAGATTTTTCCACAGGCAAGTCCTTGGCAGGTCGAGATAATAAAGGATGCTCAGGTGGTTTTGAAGTAACCATTTGAGCACTTGCACTTCCATGTTCAGCCACTGTGGGTCTTGAAGGTATTGGAGGAGACTGGGATGTGATTGTGACCCTGGGTGCAGTTGAGATGGTTACTTTGAGAGCGGGATTGCATAAAGGGGAAATAGAAGACGGAGTTGGTTTACTTTTGTTCTCAGCACTTCGGGGATGGAGACGGTCTGGTGAAAGGGCACGTCGCAGCAGTGGAGAACCGGGCTCAGCACTTTTGGGTCTTCCAAACCCCTTTTTATTACCAGAACCTGGTGTTGATAATGATGTTCCTGGACTATATGACTGTGTGGTATTAGAACTACCAGGATGGTGACCTGCTGGGAATGCTAATGGACTGGGAGATCGTGTTGGAGATGACGGAAGTGGAGATGGTGAGGGAGTTCTTGCTAAAGGTGACAATGGTATGTGACCCACAGATTTCCGGCGATTTGGAGAGTGGATGCTTTTGGCTGCTGTGTGAAGTTTATGTTTGAGACCATGTAATGTGGAAGGTCTCTGATAATGCACTGTTGTCCCAGCTGGTACTCCTGCTGGACTGTTGGGTGTAGAGGAACTTGGGGAGCTTGACTGGGAGGAGTTGGCTGGAGAGTGAGAAGATTCTGGGGATGAAAATGTAATGCGGTTTGTTGGAGGCGATCGCAAGGCTTTGTTATGTGTTGGAGATCCAGGAAGATCTTGAGAGGACAGGGTTCGTGGTAATGGCTGGAAACTTCTTGTGGGCGTTACTAATGGTGGGGAGGATGTGCTGGCTGCAATCTGAAATCAACCAAAAGTATCTCTGTCAGAAGAAAGCTGGCAACTGATTTAGTATATGTGAAGAACACCTTATGGGCCTGTTCATGTCAGTCTGTCAAATCTTTCAGCACTGTTACAACAATGTGCTTTGTTAACTGTTACAACAATGATATTGGATCATATTATAATAGCAATGACCTTGGATCACTGTGTTATAATAACGGCCTTGGATACCAATGCTGCATTTATTATGCTCCTGGTTGCTTTGCTGATGTTATCACCTGCCATGTAGTATAATGAACACCTTTGGAAGTTTAGTTTACTCCAAAGAATACACATTTCCAATCTTGTCTGGATATTAAAGATGGATGTCTTCTGGGTTGTAGCACCACGTAGTCTGGTAGAAGTTTACCAACGTTTCAGAGGTCACTGCTGCCTCTCTCGTCAGGGCAATGACTCGACCAGACTATACAGTGCTACAACCCAGCAGATAGCCATCTTCGTACTCAATGCCATAAGAACCTCACATCCTACTTGTCTGGAAATATATGTTCTATTTTTATATCTAAATGATTATTCCATTATAGATCTTATGCATTGTATATCATCATGATGCAGTTATAACTATTATTTATGCAAAGAGTGAAATTCAACACAAAGAATATACAGATGACATTGGACTTGTGTAAAAGACTGAGATATACCAATGCATGATGGGAAATAAAACAGTTACAGATACTTCAGGCACTGCTGTGTAACTCAATATGCATTAACAAACATATGAATAACAAATAAAAATCAAATATAAAAAAAGGGCATGCATACCATGAACTGAGGCAATAAATCAGCTGGAACAACAGGAGCAGAAAGTGGACACGTAATTTTCATGGGCTGTAATTAAAACATGTATTAAAAAATAAACACATAATAAAATTATGTAATTTAAACACAAAGCACAAAAAGCTGCAAAATAAAAACATCTTACAAGTAACTGCAGAGCATTAAATTGTGATCTGTTCGGTACTTTTCTTAATTTTATTATTATTTTTTAACTAATATTTCAGTTAGGAAATGTCATCAGTTGTGTTCAAATTTATTTTTCACAAAGTACATACAATATGTTCTGTGATTTCAAGCTCATGTACTGGTTGTTTGGTTGGTAGGTCTTGCTATAATAGTAATCATACTGCTCAATGTTGAAACTTAGCATCCTGCACAGCACCTGTTAGCACAGCATTGCTTGAGAGTCATAATCTTTCTGTGTGGATGCCAGACTGCAGCCATATTATTGTTACACAGTATTAATATTCCTGTAACACACTTACTTGTTGCATTTCCACACTCGCCCGTTTGCTACTGATCCGACGGAACAGTGAAGATTTGCGTCTCTTGTCATTATGTTCCCGTTTCTGTCTCCTTTGCCTGTGCATGCTACGTCTTGCCAGTTTGCTCTGCCATGGCTCTCGCTTACGACCACCTGTCCTAATGGAAGTGTTTTCAAGCGGAGTAGAACGAAGAGTTACATGATCTCCTCCAGAGAGCAATAGTTGCAGAACCTGAGTGTGGTATAGACCTTGTACAGCTTCACCATTGATATGTGTTATGAGATCCCCTGGTCGTACACCAGATTCAAATGCTGGACTACCATCATCCACCGCCTGAAATGTATTGGCATTCACATGGTTTTACTGCAAATATGATGTGTTTTGTGATGTATGAATAAGTGAAATGTGATGTGCATGATAACATATTTTATTTCCACGTCACAATTCAGAAACTGCAAACCTATCCAAGCAACAAATATGCTCCACTCATTATGAGGATATGATACAAAGAACTATGAGAAGTGAGATATCAAGTTCTCATGGTAACGAGTATGAAGATCGCTGTCTTCTGAGATGTTGCACCACGTAAACTGGTAGTAGACTTCTACCACATTACATGTCTTAACATCCTGGAACACAGGTCATCTTTATACTTGCCGCCGTGAGAAAATAAAATCTTGCCTATCAGTATTTTGTCAAATGAAGTGCAAAAATTAGAGTTTGCCTTCCACTGATTTTCACTTGCTAATTTGTAACCCATCATCGTGACTTATAAGAACAAGTTAAAAGTTTGTAGTCCTAGAAACATTTTTAAACGTTTTTCCTTATTTCTCTATTCAGTGCTGTAGAAATTCTTTTACCAAAGTTTCAGAAAAACATACTGCCCCAAACTTCGGGGTAGCTCAAGATGGTAGTGACTGCAATTCACATTTTTACTGCCTTGAAAACCTAAAATCATACAGTACTCACCATAACCAGATGGTGCATTGTATAGAAGTCTGTATCACCATAATAAACCCTAATGGTATGAACTGTAAACCCAAATCCACGTGGTCCACGTCGGATGATAATAGGAGGCTTCAGGCTAGTGACAAGAGGAGACAACTCTCGACAGGGTGAAGTATCTCGGGAGCTTGCAGTACTAGATCCACCTGGTGACTGGACTGGTTGGGGAGGAGAATCATCTGAAATTCATTATTATACTTTGACCAACCATGTTTAAAAAATTTGGTGCAGGTTAAAGAGATATTTCTAAATTTCAGGAAACAAGAGCAATTTTAACACTATTAAGAGCCCACATATTTAGACAAATCTTCAATATAATTTTAGTAGAAAAAGTTGTACATCATAATCTCTTGAGAACTTCACAAATGATGCTCACTATATTAAGAAAAGTGTGAAAATGGGAAAGTACAACTTGAAAGGAACTAAAATTTCATGCATAATCATGACAAGAGCAGAATTCCTTTTGTAAATTAATTCATACACTAGTTGAAAAGAGGATCCATTAAAACCATCTTGCCAACATGAAGTATGTTATTAAAACTTTAACAATATCACACCTGAAGGAATCATCAAGGAGAGACCTGATGCAGATGCACTTTTAATAACAGCTCTGGACCGATGTTTGCATGGCAAGGACATTCTCTGTGTACCAGATGCCTCTGCACCACGGCGATTTCTTTCTTCTACTGGGACAATCTCCTGAAGGTGCTCCAAATCCATGCTAAATATGTACACAGTAATAAACTGCTAATCTGACTCTCACCTATGATATTATTACATCTTGCATTATTTCTTTCTTAAAGCAGCTCTTACCGACTGATGTGATCATGTACCCATAAAAACACATATAAACAATATGAAACAGTATCCACAAACTGGAAACTGTAAATTACAGAATGGATCTATGTGTGACTTTTTAAAAAAAGAATGTAATTCAATTGTATATTCAAATGTTTTTCCAGGCTTGCTGCTTGATTTCTTCATTAACGAAAGGAAGTCCGAAATTTAATTACATAGTACAATGTACTTTATTACACAAACTTAAAATATCACAGGTTATTTAGAACATTTTAAAACACACTGCACCTTACAATATACCAAAGCAATGGTGGTGATAATGACCATTTCAAATTCCATATGTCTTTAAGAACCATGAACAGCAAATAAATACCCTCTAGAATTGCACAGATCAGAAGAAAATGAACACAAACCCATGCAGCCACACAACTGAAATTTAGGTCCAGTGAAATAAAAAAAAAAACACCATGCGTTCTCAACATTTACAGACCTGCAATGATTATCCTCAATGGAAATTGAAAACCTTGGTAGGGAATCTTTGCTGTGAAGGCGCCGCTTCCGTTGAATTTGGGGTGAAACATCATCGCTTTCTGTCTGTGAAGATTCTGGTGTTGTTGGATTTGCAATTTTCTTCTGATGACCTTGTTCAGCAAATTCGACCAATTCCCTTACCACATCTGTTTCAGGCGTATCTACAGTGCTACCCAAATTGGAGGGGGAGGATTCAGAATGATCTGACTGACCAGAATCGCCACGTGAGAATGACTTCCTTGCTGTGCTATCTTCCAGTTCTTCAAACATTCCCTGTCGTGTCTGTACTTTACGATACTGTGGAGAACAAGAGGAGAAAGAACCAAACAATGGAGAATCATCTGTATCATCTGTATCTTCCCCTATGTCATGATTGTATCTGTCCATTCGTGCTGAAAAATAACAGAAAAATTTCTTGGTTACATGCAATGGCAATAGCAGTACACAGTTAGCATATTCTGTATATAGAAAATTCAGAAAAAAATGAAATTCAAAATGAACAAATGAGGAAATATATATGATAACCAAATGTGGTTAGATTAGAATACCTTGTAAACACAAGCAGTAAGCAATGTCACTCAAATACATGTGAACTCTATGAAAACATATATTTTAATTACAAAAAATATACTAACTATCAAAATAACTTGTGTCCTCTTCATGGTCAATTTGGGGAACAAATTCTGCTTTTTGTCGTAAAAGCGAATTCCAGTCTACCCCGAAAAAATATGGATGTTCCTTTACTTCCTGAGGACCTCCAGTTCCTAGACGATCCCTAGCATTTTGCTGTAATAATACTGTAATGATGTCCCTTGCTTCAGGCTGAACAGGCCAGTCATCTTCATCAGGCCATTCAATATCATCTGAGGATAAAATATATTACACAATGATTACTGTTTTAAAAAAGCCTTAACATTTATATAACAGCTTTATAAAACTTATTAGTGAAGGGAGAACAGGCTTCTTACCATTTACTGTGTGAGCAAATAATTCCTCTGGTGTTTCTCCAAAGAATGGTACACATCCAATTAAAAATTCATACAGTATAACACCCATTGACCACCAGTCCACTGGTTTGCCATATCCCTGCCTACAAAGAGACATAAAAGTAGTAAATATATGGTATACATGAAATGATTCTTAAATTGTAATTAATCATCTTCAGTATGATGTATGCAGGAAATGGCATATGCAACATGACTGCATGAAAAAAGATCAATTTTTAAGTGATATTTGCTGAATATATGCCAGAAACACTACAGCTAACTCTTCATTAAATGTAGCCAGTAGAATCAGGTTTCGTGTGATTATGAGCATTCAATGGTAGACTTCTGAAGGTCATGATAATTCAGGGACTCAGATACTATTTACAAACTGAGTTATTCAATAATGCCAAACATTTTATCTTGTACTTTTAAATTTAAACATTTATAACATTCTTAACATATATATTCAATTCATCAGAATTTTTTATATTGAAATAAAACTAGGAAAGGTCAATTATGTGACATTATAGTCATGGAAAACATAAAAATACAAAAATGAAATGTTACTCATAATTTAATAATAATCAATAGGAAAGTCATAATTTGAATTCACGTTTTTATCTCATTTATATTCACGACCTTCCGGAAACACTCAAGTTTAGTAAAACTATGTAACTACATGCAACTGAAAATATATGTATGAATTTTTACAGAAAATGCCAGACTTCTGATGGGGGGAACTTGCAGTTTCAGACAAAAGTTCTTACTTTCTAAGATAAAAAAAAAACAACATTGTATATAAAAGAAATTATTCACTGTAAGTGATATCTCACCTCAATATTACTTCTGGTGCTATATACTCTGGGGTTCCAAACACTTGTTTATCTGAAAACTGTCTTGTTTCCCGGTCTATATAACCTTCATACAAGTTCGTAGCCACTGAAATGAAAATACAAAAACTATGGGCTGCAGAGCCATTGGATGGATGGATGGTATACAATACTGAGACTGGCTGGTTCTCATAATGCAACAAGTATATGATTTCTTTTGATATCAATTCATATAAAGCATCACATTCAACAGGATATAGTTCTAAAAGGTGTAAAACTACTTACATGACATAAGACCCATCTTGCTTAATCCAAAATCAGTCAGTTTTATGTGACCCAGGGCAGTAATTAGCAAGCTAAAATATGACAAACAATGGAGTTTTAAACTGCTGATTAATTTTTACGTTATTTTATTGTGAAAAAGTTATTTCTCTGAAATTATACAGAATATCCTAAAAAGATGTATACACACATTCAATGAATGAAACCGACATTTTAATAAACTAAACCATAATATACATCAGCATTGGCATTTAGCAAATTTAGTGTAGGTGTTCAAAATGACCACCATTAACTTTGTGGCACAGTTGAAAGCAAGTGACTGACAAGTGGCCACCACAGTTGCTGCTGTATATACTTCTTTTGGGGACAGACTGTAAATGAATTCAACAACAGGTTATGAACTGTCATCAAGGAAATAATTAATTGTAACAATAGTACAAGGAATAAAACCATCTTTCATATGAAGGAATCCACAATTTTTGATCTGTGGTAACTGTGACAGTATCATTATGGTTAGAGTCTTTTAAGATGCTGAAAAGATTAATTCCATCTGTATATAAAGCATATTTCTCTCTAACAAATCCAAATTTTATGTTTAATAAAAGAGTTAGATATCATTTTTCATGTCTTTAGACAATGTGTCAATAAACTGCCACAACCAAATACAGAAACCCATAGAATCCAAATTTATTTAAAATTTAATATACAATTCCTATACAAAAACTTATCAGACTGCAATATTCTTCAAGTGTTCCTTACAATTTATTTTTAATTTAATTTTATATTTCATTTAAGTCCCACAATTTCTAGTAAGACCTTAGTGTAATACTCACTTATCTGGTTTCAGATCTCTGTGGACAATACCATAACTGTGTAAATATTCCACAGCTAAAACAGCTTCAGCAAAGTAAAACCTGGCCATGTCAGGAGGTAACGGACCAATGTTCTTCACAAGCGTTGCACAGTCTCCGCCTTCCACATATTCCATAACAAGGCATAGATGTTTCTGCAAAACCAAAATATAAAAGAGTAAGAACACCAAACAGATTTTTCAAATTATGTTGTACATGACAAATTAATCTCCTCTTTAGCCTTAATATATTTGACATCAATCCCAATCAGCCAGGAGAGTTAGACATCAGTTTAAAGGCAGATATCTTACTGCAAGGGATATAGTTCATGGGTTAAAAAGTACTGTCACCTGTTTGTAAGGCAAATTTTTAGAGAATACAAGATGGTTTGATTTATGCTACATTTCTTAATCATAATGCTGTGTCAACTGCACACATCAAATCAAATCAGATGAAAAGAGCATCAAAAATAATGAGTAAGTAAGGAGAAAGTCATGACGTGTCTGACGATGCCTGAAGAGATTAAGCAAAGCAACACAAATCTCAGTGAGGATATGGAATTTACATTCTGAAGTTAATAACATAAGACTGCTAACAGAAAATATTAATTATTACCTTTGTTTCGAAAGTGCAGTACATACTAACAACAAAAGGGTTGTCTGTAAAACTCATGATATCTCTCTCTGCAAACACTTGATCAACTTGATTCCGGAGCATCAGATTATTTTTGCTAATCTTCTTCATAGCAAATCTCTGACGGTTTTCTTTCAAACGTACCAAATATACGGCACCATATGCTCCATTAGAAATTAACTTCACAATTTCAAAATCATCTTCAGAAGGCACCTGGAATGAAAATATTTTTATCATAAACAACTAAATATAATTATAAACCTTCTGTATGACTTACATATATGAACTTGTCCATCACTGCTACAGTTTTAAAGAACACAGTTTTATTTATTAATCTCATATATAACCTCACTCATTTACTACACACTAAACAATTACATACCTAACACAAATTATCCATGTATGGTATTCTCTCATAAAGCAAGTACTGTTTCACTAACCTAAAAGAGTCTTACATTAAGCACCTAGACAAACTATATATATATAAAAAAACTTACTAAAAACAAATAATTTAATACAAGTTTTTCTTGCCAACTTATAGAAATCGGTTTCAATCTAGTGATATTTAATTGACATATCCTAAATATTAATTGAGGCAATGAAATCAAATGGCAACTGCAGTGAGCTCGACATATTCTAAACGGGTCACAAGCTTCATTTTGTCGTCCATTAGACTCCAGGCTCATCTTCAGAGGTACTTGATTAAAGAGGAATACTGGACCTTACCTCAATTCACTTCACATCATCAAATAATGCTTCCATAATATCAATTTTATTATATTATCCTTCCACTCATATTTCTTTCCCATATGTGATTTCTTTCCATGAGAATTTCCAACTAAAAACTATGCATTTGTTCCACCTGTGTACACCAAGTAACCCTTCCATCATGACCTCCATTATCAATCTCAGCAATATTAAGCAGGAAGAAGACATAAAGAAGTTTCCAATTAAGTAATACTGTATTTTACTTACTTATTGTTACTCCATGTGTCTTAGATCCGAATATTTTCCTTTGCAATTTATCTTCAGATGGGTAATAAATTGTATTAATAAGTAGGATTTTAAGGTGGTAAGTATAAAGACAGTTGGGTTGTAGTGGCATGTAGTCTGGTGAAAGTTTACCAGTATTTCAGGGCAATGAGCCCTGATGATGGAGGTAGCAAGGACCTCTGAAACACTGTTAAACTTCTACCAGACTACATGGCACTACAACCCAGAAGACAGCTATCTAAGATCTAACACTGATCTGAAGTTAATAAGTACCTTCGTTTCTTTCTCATCTTTTGGTGTTGACTGAGGCATACAAAACCGAAAATTTTCTGGCGAAGAGCACGTAGTTTCCAACTGACTCAGATCTTCTTGTAGTTCTAAAATACAAAAGAAAAAAAGGCTCTTATCCTGATTTATACAAAGGAAAACCAGAAATCCTATGTACATCATCACTTAACCTTTCAATGAACCCTTCTTATTAGCATCTGATACAAATGAATGGAAATGTATCATATTGACAATTGCCTAATTTGTACAAATACTATAATGCAACTTACCAGCTATAGGATCCCTGTTTAAACCTAATTTAGTTATGATGTACTGTGGAATGTCAGCCTTAATCCCTTGCGATGTTTTAGCTTGTCCTTCAGCCTGTTCAAGTAAGCGATAAAACTCTTCTGGATCAAACTCCAAGCATTCAAGCAGCCGAGCTGGCCTCGATATTACCAGAAGTAACTTCTTTACAGCACCCGTTAGCCTTGCTGCTGCTTCTGGTGACTTTTCTTTTGTCTGTTAGTAGAAATAATAGTATGCAGTAGTTTGAAATATTAAAGAAACTCACAGTGGTGAATGCAATATCTCAACATCAGTAAGACCATCAAGGAAATACGAACCTCTAACAATAATCTCTCCAGATTTTCAGACATTTCAAAGAAATATCTACTAGTGACAAGCTTCTCATTTGACTTCTGTAAGCAGTCTCTCGCCATTTCAATGACTTGATGGTGAACAAATCTTATTATTGGTATGGAACCTTTCGGCATATTTTCATAGTTTTCTCTTGCATCGATAGATTTGTTGTCATTTATAAAACTTTGCAAACGTTCCTCCATTTGTTGAGTAGCCTGCAAGATATAATAGTATTATAAAACCAAGATCAATCAGATACACGGATTTCTATAGTAACGTTATGAACCAAAGCAGCAAGAACGCATAAGTGTTAATATCTGATTTGTTGATTGTGGTCCTCTGTATTATGGTTGCCAAACCTACCTACAATTCCACAATCACTATCAACCATCAACTGTGGTCTTCTGGGATGTAATGTCATATGGTTTTGTGGGTGGTTACTACATGGTATCATAACCCAGAAAACCACAACTGACATTCATGTTAAAGATCTATAAGTGCAATAAAGTAATTCAATTCTTTATTATTAGTATGCTGCATCAAAGGCCAGAAGGACAATTACAGATACAGCACAAGAGAAGACCACAATTATAAATATAACAAAATTAAAAAACAATGAGATTATCAAGAAATGACATGACTGTAGAGAACGTTAACACATCAAAGGAAACTTTCTATTGACTATATTAATATCTGTGCAACAATATTTAATGTTAACAGTTCTTATATAACCAAGGGGGTTAACACCCTAGCATTGCAACTGTGCATCCCAATCCAAGTATATCATCAGTAGTCCTGAAACTTGAACAAATGCCAGTACTCAGGCTTTATGAAGTCACTACAGTTACGGTGTGTTCTAAAGTATCAATATCTGAGCTCCACAAAGGATTCACAACAGCATAGTATGTGCAAAACAATTTTGTTACAGTTTAGACACCAGGTACAGATGGAATTGTCAACTAATACCAATTTGTATTTGTGTCTTTTAAGTGACAATATCCATCACAAATTTTAGGTGTTTCCTATTTAACCACAACAGCTCCCCAGTTTTATTTAGTACTAGTCTTAAATTAAGGAGCTTCGCACGCTTTTGTCCAATTATGGACTTTCAATATCCCAGGTGCCTTTTACAGCTCCAATCCCTTAAAGCAGAAACAATCATTTCTCTGTTTTCAGCAAAACATTATCTGTGGTTCAACACTGAATTATGCCAGGCACTGCTAATTTTGCATTACCTTTATAGTTCAATTGGCTACAATTGCTCTTACTGTCATAGGCAGCATTCCATCAAGTCTGATATCAACTGCTCATTTGCAAGCTTTAGAATTGGCAATAATTTTCAAAATGGGTAGCTTTCTCATTTGACTTTGCAGATATTGGTGCTGAGTTCATTGAAAAATAAAGTAAATAAGACACAAAATAAGAGAAATTGTTTGAGAACCTTTCACTAGGAATGTTCCTGAAAGAAAGACTTGCAGAGCAAAAAGAAATGACACATATAAAGTGTCAGACTAGTCACAAGTTTCAAAGGACAGGTGTCAAGGAACTCATCTACAGACCCACAGTTCCCAGACTAAAGGAATTTCTTTATGATATCAGAAGGCTTGTGGCTGCACTGACATAGTCAAAGAAAAGTACTATGATCAACAGAGCATAAAGTGTTTACCTTTGGAAACCTTTCCTTGTACAAAGTATTCATCATCACTATCTCATCATCAACAACGGGTGATCGACTTGGGCTACTGAAAACAAAAAACACAAAATTGCATAAATAAAACAAAAGACTGAGAAATAAATCACACAAGACACACATGCAATCTTGTATTCAACATGTTTTACATAGCAACATGATTTTACGTCTCAGTACAAAGTCTCATGAAAAATGGACAAAGCCCTGAAAATGAAAAGGTTATGTGCAATCTGTGTACATACAAAATGTAAAACACCTTAAGTCAATACCGATGTAAATCTGATTAATCAATATGAAATACATTTCTGACATTAGATCATAAATAAACATTTTTCTCAAGATTCACTGATTAAGCAGATATATTTATCTATTTGGTGGTGTTCAAACCTTGTGTATTTTGTAAGTTTTGTTTCGGAATAAGAATGCAAAGTAGCATGAATTTGTGAGAGAAGACTGATTACTTCCTAGTTACAATAATTACTGCCTCATAATTAATGAAAAGTATATAATTAATTAACCTAAGACATGACATACTGGGAAATTGTATGCCATAAATGAAAGGCATCAGCATAAGAACTGATTTTTGGCTGGTCATTCCATATTCCACACATGTATACTCAATTGTATTATGGCTCTGATTCACAAAACAAAGGAATATAATATCATAAGTAAACATCACATACTGGAGAAGAGCATTAATGTTAACTGTGTTTGCCCTGCTAACACTTTTAAAAATGAAAAATAAAAAGTATTCTGTCTTAGTTTTGCAGTTGAGTGGAACTCAGCAGAACTGAGCAGATAATGTATTGTAAGCCAGCTCCAGCCAACCACTGAATTACAAAAGTAAGACGGAAGACTTCCAATTTTCTGTTTCTGAAAGTGTTATCCAGGCTAATATGGCTAACACAGTTAACATGAATGAAGAGTTCATAACAGTGACATTCGCAAACAAAAGTACTCTTGATATTTATCTGAACAAAACAAAAATTTTCCCTCATATCTGGACAACAATTTATAACAGAAATACAATGCCAAATAAATACAACAATTAAAAACAGAAGAAACCTACAAAATTAAAAAAGGGCTGTAATTATTAACTGTGCTTACTGATACAGAAACATCACTACCTATTTCAACCATCTTAGCTCTGAAATGTACAAAGTTTGGGAGAACCCACTGCTAATACTGAAGTCAACCAACAGACATGATCCTGAATCACTTACATCCACTACACATCTTCACATCCTATTTATCTAAAATCTATCCTTCGCAGCGCTTCAAATAATCAAAAGGTTTCATATATTTATTTCAACATAATTATCAGAAGTCCTTTGAGTAATGGCACTCAAAATGTACACGTTGTGCTTTTGCGTCCCTTCTATGCAGCTGGAACTCTTTCTAGGGTACTTCATCTATAGCTACAGTTCTCGGTTCCCTAGCTTTTTCTGCAATACTTCAGTCTGGTATAATACACAGTTTATTCTTTTAGTACTTACATATATTATTTATAATATAAAGGAACTGAATACTGAGAATTTAATTAAAGGAACAACATAATCATGAATTTGACAGCCTCCTGGGATATTGTGCCATGCAGTCTCACAGAAGTTGACTGACATTTGAGATGTGCTTACTGCCTTCATTCTGCCTGATAACAGTGTCAGTAAGCACCTCTGAAATGTCAGTCAGCTTCTATGAGACAACATGGCACAATATCCGAGAAGGCTACTGCTGTGAGAATCTGAAATACCAACATAATCATGTTGCTACAAGTTTAAAGAAAACTACCAATAAAACCAAAGAAAACTTATAAGTATATTAGTCCTCTACATGCAAGGTGATTAAAATTCCTATTATGCTATGGAAATTGCACTTAAAACATAAAATTGGAATATTGGAGATATATGTGCATATAATATAATTATTACTTCAAAAATATTTAACTACAAACATCTGTTCTTCTTAATATAGAGTAACAGTACCCAGATATCTAACATTCATATTAAGTCTGAGAATTCAAGAACATCAGGCATTAATCTATGAAAGTAATTTAAATTTAGGAATGGATCACTAACATAAGATTCCGTACTGGATTTAAGAATCTTCCTTTAGATATATCTTACATATCATGTAACTCGATCATAGCAAATACTGCAAATGTTCCTTTAATTTATTACACACTAACTTTTATCAGTAATGCCTGTATCACCATCTAACAAAACACACACAGACATGCAATTTAAGGATGTCCATCAATCTTGATTACAAAGGCATATACTTTAATTTAATAGCTTAATACAAATTCACTATTCTCAGCAGCCATGTCGGAATTCACAACTAAAGTAGCTTTGCAAATAAACAAATGAAAAGTCACGAACATGCACAATATGACTGCCACAACTAATATGACGATGATAGCGGTATAAAGCCGCATGACACATTATACTCATTCTGTAACAATATAGATATAGTATATATTTATTTATTATTTCAGTCTATACACAAACTTAATTTTAATTTTTAAATGTTGTTAAAATTAAAATTAAATACCAACACTAGTATTAAAGCTGATAATGTTATGGGCATTGTCTGTCATCCTATATTCTGCATAAAAAGCACTACACTTCGGTAGATAGCTCTGCTCCTGTCTTCCAGTGAAAGCTACCTATTCAGTTGGAATTGCAGAAGAGGGCTAACCCCAGAAGTTCAATATCAGAAGTCCATATTAGCCATTAAGATCAGGTTTCATAGTCTTGTTTTATGTAAAACCTTGTCTTTCAATATGTACTGGGCGAGCATTTTTGGAAGCCTTATATAGAGCAAACTGAAGGCAGTGAGTGGGGTTTGATAAACCTAACTGGCAGAGTGGAAGAGCAGGCCGCTATCCAATTGACGAGCTGTGAAAACCAAAGGACAAGAATTTGCTTTGTTCATAGTTTTAATGGATTTTGTGCCTGGAATTGATTATGTCTTGAGAAGTATTAGCACTACCTTCATTAATACAGCTGCAGGTCTTTTTGATGTCATAATCTTTATTGTATAATTTATGTTACTATCTCTCAAGGACAAAGCCTGGACTTACTGGCTTACAAACAACTTACAGCTGTCCACTGACTGGGATTAACCCTCTAACAGACTCAACTGAGTTAGCACCCTTCACCTGAAGACTCCTGCAATGAAGTGTTTTATTTTCAGAATATAGGGGAACTGACAAAATCCAAGAAACTATAAGCACAAACCGTAATATACTATCATTAGAAGTACTTCTCAGGATTATTCTAAAAAGACTATATTTCTGAGAAGTCTGATGTGTTTGAACTGCTTAAGGGGTTCTACCTTCACAAGTCTGAAATAGCAAGAGGTTTTTATGTGACATCTGTTCAAATCTATTTCTACAACTTTGTGATGCTATGGATAACAAGATGCAGTGCTTTACAGCCAGAAAGGTGCACATTATGCCAAATAAGCCATAACAACAAGTTCATGTATGGAATTAAAAGGAATATGCAAAAGAACATATTGTGCGTGAATTGTTCAGCAAAGGAGTAAATAGATACTTGCTGCTTGAGTTGTTTTTACAACTATTTTGTTTCTCACTGACCATAAATGTCATGCATAATGACACTGAAAATACACAAAACTTGTGCAGCTTCCTTCAGAGTATTTATTATTTAGTGTTCTGTCTGACGACAGGTCCATATGAACAGGATCCTTCCATCCTTTTCTCGGACTGGGACCTGTTCATATACGTTCTTGGCAGATGATCCAGAAGTGGTTTGCCATTGCCTTCTTCTGTGTGTGAATGGAGTAATTGTTGGGATGCCACGGAGAAACTGGGGAAGCCCCCGGAGGAAAACTCTGTGTTGCCTAGACCACGGCCTTGCCCAACACAAGTTATAAATTCGGGCACCGCCGGGAATCGAACCCGAGACCCCCAGGATTACAAGGCCAGCGTTCTAACCGCTAGACCACCGTGGCTGGTCCTTCAGAGTATAGTTATAAAAATAATGAAGTCCGTACAGAACTTGTTTCTTCTGCATTTAAAATTAGCATGATGCTTCAAACTATTTTATCTGATTGGTTCTGCTGTGTCCCAGTGTATGGTGTACCAATGAAAAGTGAATACAGAGTGAAAAAATTATTTTTTTTTAAAGGCAGCTGGGCTAACATGGCTAACATGAATGCTCCATTCTGTATGCATGTAATTTACTCATACAGAAAATTTAAAATGACTGTCACAGATTCTCCACTGTTCAGGAGGCAATCAACACCATCCACCATGCAAAATCAGTCCGGTCCAAGTTACTACCATTGAAAAATCTTGCTGACAATCGATTCTAATTGGATTTTAAGGCCATACAAGCAACAAGGGCATGGCTTAAGGCATAGGGCACCCAACATTTGCAACAAACTGGTGTGTATTGGTGGGTTAAGTGTCTCAATGTGTATGGTTATTATTTTGAAAAGGACTCATGCAGACTGCAATCCTGTGTGTGTAATAAGCTGGTGTGATGTTTCTGCTGTGTAAGATAAATTCACAGAAGCAACTTCCTGATACACCCTTGCATAATGTAATATTTTGACACAAGAAAGACAAAAGTATACCTATGTAGAACAAATTGTTAAACATCCTTAAAATTGGTAGAAAAAAAATATCAAAAGAAGCTTACTCTAGTGTGGCGATACACAGCCAGGCCAAGCTATGGCAGTCAAATAGAAAAAAAAAGAAGAAACAAGTACTATTAAACATTCAAAAACATACAGTGTCAGCAGTCTTGGACATAAATACAAAGTTGCATTATGGGAGCTCCTTACATAGCATGTTCTTCCAATGACACGATATCACATAAGTCAATTCCAATATACCAACAAGTATCTGTTGCTGTCCACAAGAACAACATAGCATACAACTTAATAAAAACCAACAACAAAAGTTTGCTCCTTTGGAGAAACTGTCTGAAAATTTAACTGATATAACAAATTCCTTTAGAGTAATCTATGTTACATATGTAAACAATTTTTATCATGCCCCACTGATTCATCCTGATCTATTAAGTGAAATCTAATGTGATTACACACTGTTCTTCCAAAATTTTCTGACAAAAAATTACTTGTTCTTGTGTAAAAGAGATTGTATCACATAGACATACAATAACATAAACTGAATTTTACAAGGGTTCCTCATAATGCAATTTAAACTTAAGATGTCTATTACAATTCACATGTATATTAATCTGTTTGCAGAAAAATGGTGCATGGCAAATAAAAGCAAACCTAGATAGATATGTTACAGCAGGACTACTTCCCATGCACGGGGGACAGAATGTACAAAACTTTTTGATTTCATAAAGCAAATTCTCTCCTGAAATAAACAGTAACTTATCCAAGTAAACCTATCTGAAGAGCTACCCAAGCCATACAAAATTCATGACCCAAAATAAAGGCATAAAATGTGGATGTCAACTGAAAATATGAATTTCATTGACACCAAAAAGTTATATATTATTGTTATAACACAAAGTGTGCCATACATTTCCTATTGTTATTTATAAGTTTGAACTTACAAAGAAAAAAATAACATGGCATGTCCACAAGATGATGTCATTTATGCTTTCATGTAAGGATATCAAACAATCAGAACAGTATTTTTAATATGTGTCTTGAGTAATGTGGTTAGTTTGTTATGCCTTTGAGTCAACTAACTTAGTACTTTTCAAAGAGAAATTTCCGAAACCGAAACATATAATTTTAGATTATGAAAACTAGAAAAATATTAAATGATTTGGGTAAGGGACCAGCCTTTACATGAGTGGTAAATAATACTCTCTTAAAAGCCTCATAGTGTATTGTTCACTCATTTTACCATGTCACAAATGAACATTATTACATATGTGAAAATTAACGTGTATCATGCACATAAATGGAAGAATAAAAATAGTATTTACATATGTTACACTTAGGGCAGGGATTAGAAAAATAAGCAGAGAAAACAGGAGGTGAGAACCAACCATGAAGATGTATAAAGGATAACTCAGAGATGCCTCACAACACACTATTATGATTTTGTTACATACCTCAGACTACGAGATCGAGGACGATGAAATGGAGATCTTCTCCCTTCGTCGTCAATGCTAGGATTGCTGTCATTGGACGAGAAGTGAGATGTCAGCATCTGCAGTTCTTCTGAGGTTGGGATATTTGGAAGTTGGTGTAGTCTTTCCTGACTTGAACATTGAGACTGAAAAATAAAATAAGATGAGAATACAAAATATATGTATTAACATTCACGTTACCATTCACACAAGTTTCCCAAGAGACATTCCTATTATAATGTAATCTGTGTACACTGTCTGCAGCATACATTTGTAACCATCATCATGATTGAATATCTTGTAACTAATGAGATTTGAAATGTTAATGGAAGTGAAAATGTGAACTGTGGTTTAGTAGAATATAATGCCATGCAGTACTGTAGGTGGTTATCAATGTCCTTCATAAATGTTGGTAACCACATACAAGACTACACAGCATCATAACTCAGAATACTACAATCCACAATGTCTAACTTTTGGAATTTACAGTCTAAACTTGTCAAAGTATATGTGTATCAAAAATTGGTACCAATTGCCTATGCAACAACACTTACTGAAACATTTGAGCTTCCAGGAGTTGTCCCATAACCAGAGGACGGCAAGGAAGCCACGGACCATCGTCTGCCATCACCACTGTAAGTAAATGAATGACAATATGTGAAGATCCAACATTACAACTACAAAATGTCTGTTCAATTCAATTAAATTAAATTCAAATGCATCCAGTTTCCTTTAGATCCATTTATATGTGATGGCGTGCTAGCATAGCAAGGGTTAAGACAAAGAGGCAACATAGATACCACAAGCAAGCACTCTGGGCAAAACCCCAAAGTGAGGCAAACCTGGGAAAGGAACACAAACATGGATTTCCTTTGCCCTTGAGAGAAAGCCCTGGGATTGTCCAGTTCCTAGGATAAAAATACAAAAAACAGAGGGACATGGATGGGCACAGAAGACATTCTTTATTTATTTTCAGTTTATTTAACAATTCTTTTTCAGTAGCTCAGACTATGCAGTATTGAATGAGAGCTTGATAGTGAATAATCCTAGCATTTCCCTGGAGGAATTGAGGAAAACCACAAAAAACCTCAATCAGGATAGCCGGTCTCTGGGCCAAGATTTGAACCTGGAACCTCCCAAATATGAATCAAGAGTGATAACCGCTCAACCACAACGTTCAGTGCTAGTGTCAAAGGCACCTAAAAATGTGAACTTTACTTTCTGATTCTGCATGTTGTGAGAAGTGACAGCACAAAAGAGATGAGCAGAAAGTCTTTCTGAAGTAAATGTTAATATTTAATATTATTAATTACAATGGTATTATGATTTTTTATGCATCACTGATTTGTGTAGCTGTTATTATATGAGTAAACTACTGTATGATTATCAATACTTATATTTAGTAATTCCTTCCGAAGTCATGGCATGTCCTACACACAAGCAAAATGAGTTGTCCATTACTGACATTGTGTATCATACCATTTTCATCATTAATTAACAGTTTGATAAGTGCATGTTTCTGATTACCGTTTCACAGGAGCAAATGCAAAATGTTGACTTGGTGACATTCTGGGACTTTCCAATGGACTTCCTGCAAAGAAAGTAAATTCTCTATAAACATAGAATAAAAATCTGGAAAGATATATGGAAAGTGTCAATAATTTATCTTTGAAAAGCTATATCCATACCATAATAGTGACCATATGCAATTAAATCTTGTCATATGATACAAGTGTCTATTTTTGTTGGTATTACAAAACAACATACCTGATATAGGTGAATGGCATCGAGGTAGTGTCGGTGACGTTGTAGAAATGAAGCTTTTTCTATTAGATACTCGACTGCTTCTTCTAGATAGGCTTAACTCTTTCTGCAAAACAAAGAAAGTAAATTTTCGTTAACAAGAATAAGAACGCACCTTGAACTACCTTCATTCTGGAGCACAGAATTAAGTCCTGATAAAAGCAGCTGCAACAGGAATTCATGGGTATAATAGCCTGGATATCAGAAAAATAATGTTTAGAATCCACTTTCAAAATTCCTTAACACATTACATGCTGTTTACACCATTGCCTGTTAACTAAAATTAATTTTCTTCTTTTTTCTTAAAGTTCTCTCATTTCCATGTTTCCCAGTCTCAGGTTACATTACTGTTGATAATTGCAGCCCTTTCCCTCAAATTTTTTTATTCACATCCCTTTAAGTCTGTGGTATGAACACAATATCTTGTAAGCTATACACAAGATAAACAATGTACTGACACACATATATGCCAATAAACAAAAACAAGAAGCCTATACACCAGGCTACCAAAACAGCAAAAATAAAGACAACTACCCATTATAAATCCAGTCAATATACTATAGAAATGAGGTACAAATGCCACTTACAAAACAATACAGTGCTAAATAATCCACTCAATACATTCTCAAACATACAATCATGAAACACTAAGGATAATGAAAATAACTTTCATGCTGACAGCACAGACATTAGCCAGTTTGTTTTAACTTATGACAATAAGCAACATTTTAAAGACAAAACGTATTCATAGAGGGACACAATATTATTCTTTCAATGGAAGCTTTAAATCATATTACAGAACTTCAAGCTTCACAGCAATAATTAAATATGCATGCACCACTACTGCTTTAAGGAAATGTTACAATTACAATTCTGTAAATTCCAACTCAAGTAAAAAATGTCATAACCTCAAAAACAGAGTCAAATTTATATTGCAGTAACAAGCACTTCCACATTTTTGTGGTTACATTATTTTTGTAAAACAATTTTATAAAATAATACTATATACAAAAAGAATGTAATATTTGCCCTAGTACTGGCATATTGTCACATAACGCAAGAAATACTTAAAAGTATGGAACCATATATGAAAACAGGCTTCAAACCCTGGGATTATCACTAACGACTTGGCATAAATTATCTGAAAGATGTATAATGACAAATCTTGCTGCAATGCCACCAGATTTTAATGTCAACAACTCAAATGAGATTTCACTATGAATATGACAGCCTTCTGGAATACTGTAGCATGTAGTCTGACAGGCAATACTCCACAATTGTCCACATGATGGAGGCAGTAAGGACCTCTCAAACAACGACCAACTTCCAAGACGGCTGTCATCTTCAACAATTTAAAGTTCTGGTGTAAGTTATTACACAGGATCATACAGGAACAACCTGACCCAGATATTCAAGTGCCTTTAAGTATAAGAAACCACATGATATTATAGTCAATTTTCAACATTGTCCCTTCTTTAATCACACAAAGCTACCGAGGGTGTGAAAGTTTCTTAATTCAGTTTTAAGCAAAATGGGAATTCAAGCTAGCAGTACATCCCAGCCAATCACACAAAATGTAGCGACTGTCACAGGCACTACAAGGCATGTTATTACGGAGAAATATACATAACAAAGTAGTTTACAGATAACTGTAGTACCCACAATGCACTCAATTTCCAGTAAGCCGGTTGCTGCATAGATTTGCCTGAATCAGGTCATAAACTCTAGCAATACTGTCCTCTACAACTATTTATGGCTGGCCAATACAGTTTATCATGTTTATTATTTTTAATTTATTATGAAGCTGAACTAAACAAAATCTGAAGTTTGTTGCAGTTAAATCGTCAAAATCTCACATCAATGTTGCTTTGCACACTGGCTACTTCAATTCTGTTACTGAGACAAAGGATAGAGGACAACATATCAAGATGTCACTAAGTGTCATGAAAATTATTCAGTTTATTCCAGAGTTACTAGGAAAATTCAACTATTTATTTCCCTTTCACAAGCCAAGAGTAAAAACACCTAGAAACTTGTTTAAGCATTAGTGACATGCAACTATCATATATTTTTCTTAGAGCAATAAACAAACACCATTCCATTAGACACAATATATATAACACACACTCTGGCAACACAGCACTGAACGGTATACACATGGTAATAAATTATCTTACTTAACGAAGCCATATGTAATGAAGCTAATATTAATGACATGATGGTGAAGAGAATTAACAGAATGATTCACAGTGGTCTCTAAAAGAAACCTGTCCCGTGCTACTTTGTATATTAAAAAATCATAAGAACATTCTAAACATACTTAAGAAACCAAGACTCCTAAAATACCAATTTCATGCCATTTGGAAATGTCAGCACAACTTTTCTAGCTACTGATTAAACCGTGTTATGTACAGCATTAAGTAAATTAATAATGAATTTGAGATATATAATTTTATGTCATTCTAGATTCCCAATGTTATCTGTATGTAGTTCTTGAAGTATTGGTAAGTTATAAACAGTGCACAATATTTTCTGTCAACAAGCAAGACAACCACAATAAATCACCTTCACACAGAATAATGAAGTCCAGTGACACAGATTTTCTTTTTAAATTAAAATGACATTTACTAAAATACTAACCTGTGATGTTGGTCATCTCAGTCTGTCACACTGTTGACTAAAATAACAGTCACCTAATAAAATCATCAAATTACTACCTATTATATGGTCACGCATGTACAACCTGATCATGTAATTTGTCATGTTTAACCAAATTACTTCAGGGCTGAAGACAGAGACATAATTTTTCTCTGAAACTTTGGTAGCTGTCTACAGGTCCACACGGTTCTACTATCCAGAAGATGAACATCAACATGTAATATTTTTATTTTATGTTCAAGTAGAACCCAATATGTACATAGTAACTAACACAACTAAATGGTTTAAAAATATACAAATGTGTCTTTCAGCCATCAAACAGCTAAATACCTGCACTGAAATGTCATGAGGTGACGAAAAATTTTATGATCTCAACAGCTACAGATATGGCAGCAATCACTACTAGATTCACTCTCAACATAGCTGCTACTCATTAACATTCAAACGAGGAAAATTCAAGATTGTGTTAATTTGATCCACTGGCAGGTTCCAAATCAAGATTAAGTACTGAAACTATGAAAACTTTTAAACATTTGGTAGGAAACCTTGGATGAGGGATTTTCCCATCACAAGGACGCTACCTACACAGGACAACACAACACAGAAAAATCTCAAGCATTCCTTAGATGATGCAGCCACAGCAATCAGATAAAATTCATAGACTACAATGAAAATATCAAACAAATAAACACAAAACTGACAATTCAAGACAACTGAAACTTCGGATACTTTCATGCATGCATCTTTTCTGGGATAATAATTATTGTGGTCTGATTTACACTTCTCTCAGCTTCCTCAATGTAGTAAACTAAATCAAATTAAAATTTTCACAATAACTGTCGGCATACATAACATTTTAAGAAGTCACATAATGTAAAACTTACTAAATAATGGGTTATGAGCAGAGGCAGAACATTCATGTTAAACATGTTAGACCAGCTAACACTCTGACAAAAAAATTGTCTTACTTTTGTGGTTATGTGGTACTCTAAACACCGGAATACAGAAAATGCATCACTATCCAGTTCAAGCCAGTCAGGCATTGTCAGCCAGCTAGCAGTAGTGCACGCTTTGCTTTCCGAAGTAAAATAAGTAACTTCTGTTATCTATATTCCAACTAAAATCACATATAAATATACAAATATTACTACAAATTAAAGGTGACACCTATTCTTAGACACATGGTCCTGACACAATGAGAACAGAGTGATAACAGTCATTCAGTCAATCCAGCGCACACTCATATTATCCAAAGAAAATGTTCTGTCATGACTAAAGTTTTTGATTTCCCTTAATTTATCCCTGCAAATATTTGGATACTACATCATAATAGATCATGTCTACCTTTTTCTTCTCATTCACATACTTCCAAACCTGATAAAGTTTCACAAGCCCTGTAGCAAAAGTACGCAAATTCAAATTCAGTATGCAGAGGAAGAGGAAACTGAAACTCATAAAATATTGTGCTATCATAGGTTGTTACTTTTATGACTCTAAGTCAATGCTTCAAGCACTGAACCAATTGTGTTTATAATTCTTAGGATTTAGGTAAATTACTTAGCTTCAAAAGCATAAAATTAAAAAATGTAATTCATTGCAAGTAAATACTGTAATTTCTCTATATAATGGCATTGTCATGCGTCACTTACAATCATATCCATATTCAAAAGTTCTAAAATACAATTCAATACAAAGTCCCAAGAATTTCACGATAAATATTGATTGCAGTCTTCTTTATTGTGACATTGTGTCATCTTACAGGTGGTCATCTACATTTCAGAAGAATGTATTGTCCCCATTTTCATGAGTGAAGCAAGTCAAGACTACACAGCATCAGAAATACGTAAACATGGCTCCATTTAAACAAGACTGAGTATGAAATTTTAAGCTCTTCAGTCCATGTAAATGATTCATTAAAGAATAATGATCAATGGCTTTAAATAGTAATCATAATAACAAAATCATTCAACAATAATAATTTATGTTTGAAGAAAATTCTTTATTGCAATGTCAACAATACCAGGAAAGTTATATTTAGCTATATATATATATCGTCTTCAAAGACATTCAGTGAATCTTGCTATTCAGATAGTGGTATGTATAAAAATCACAATTTAATTTGCATTATTATTTTAAAAATGATAATTCAATAGGGTCCAAAGTTTCTTCTGAGAAGTAACATGATAGAAAGATATAAAACCTCCTATTATCTAGTTTTCACTCCAGTGACTATACTCTGCATGCAATATTAAGTTGATAAAAAAATGTGACTGACTGGACTGATCACTTGAACATATGCAACTGTCCACTTAAAGAATTTATACTTTTAATTGAAGTTTATTGCAATGTATAAAGATTCTGGATTAAAATAAATTTTGATAAATATCTAGTTATAGAAATAAGCTGGAAGACAGGGGAATGAAAAAGAGGCTGTAATAATCATAAAATAAAAGAAGTGAAGAGTTCTGAAACTGCAAAAAGCAAAACGGTGACAAACGGAATTATATCAATTAGTGAGGGACATACTATATATATGAAAAATGCCTAAGAAGGTGTAAAATATGTCCATTTAAAAGTTACTATGGGCCCATATTAATGTATGAAACAGAAAGCTGGACAGCACCAAGGCAGATATTAGTACACAAACAGCAGTAAAAAAGAGTTATTTAGGCAAACAGGAGGATAAACCAAAAGAGATGTAATAAGAAATAAATTTTTTTTAGAGAGAATCTAAATATAACAATTTCTAAAGAGTCTATTTGCAAACATTCTCTCACAAGATAAAAAGTAAAAAAAACTAAGCATACACTAATAATGAAAGTCTTTTTTGCATAAAAGCAACTAGAGGATAAACAACATTTTCATAACCCGAAAAAATGCTGGATTCCTGGTGTGTAAAATCCCTTCAGAAACTGGTGAAACATCTCTGCTTGCAACAGACACCCCACATTAAATGCAAGCATTATGTGGTAAGAATTTCTTTGTAAACTATATCTTAACAGTTTTAAAACATAAAAACTATGTAGAAGTACAAGGGTCAGAAATAATACATTATTTTATTCAAAATGTTTGTCTGGATCTAACACAGTAAATACCTTTTCTTGAAAAATAAAGTGAAAAGAACCAAATTTTTACTTGCCTTGTCAAATTGAAAACTTTTAAAGAATATATACATATTGTATTACTACAAATACATGCAGAAATAATGAGGTTATCACAAACATTAAGACAACCACATAGATTTAATAACTGACTGGTCCCACTTCCATTCAACCAAATTTTTCAAAACTGTACTATGATCACAACGAGCCATATAAAAACTATGATCACTACAATTATTCATGTCAACAAACTGCCTTGGAAGAACTACATCTCATCTATTCTTCATTCAAACTACACAATGGGGAAACTGCTAACATCCTTCCTTACCTTAAACTGCATGAGAGAAGTGACAGAAGGAAGGGGCAGCGTAAGATTGGGACGAGGTTGGCGAAGTGTAGAGTCGCTCACACTACGTGACATCCTCCGCCAGAGGGGTCCCTGACCACTATAATCCTCATCCTTTGACATCTTGACCCCTACATGGGGACACTGAGAGGGAAAGACAGCCATACTACTAGAAAGTTTTGTAGAGCACTAGAGCAAACATGCAGAGCAGCAGCATATAGTGAATGTCCAAGGTATAAAAACACACGTTTTCACAAGAAGTGAAATTTCCCATTGATACCAAAATATTGATATATCAGAAAATTCTCACTGCATTACACTGAAGTTACTATAGTATATTATGTTCAGAAGCAATATGAATAGAATAATATACAGTCTCTAACGCAACTATAGGATGGCCACAAATTATTCACCACTTTTCTAACTTACATAAATCACAAAGTTTTAGAGATATCGTGTAACGGATTGCGCTGTTCGAAAAAACCGGTGAAAACAATTAAAGTTAATTGATTGCCCGGTCGATAGTGGCGCTGCTGAAATGTACACAGCCGACGAACGCAAAACGCAAAATGCCAATTTCCTCCAAGGGAAAGGTAATGTCTGTATTGTGGTACTGAGAGACAAAATCAGTTATTGAAGTGCAAAGACGTTACCGTCGCGAATATGGAAAACAAGCACCTGAAAGACAGTCCATCAAGCGATGGCCGGAACAGTTTCAAGAGACAGGTAGTGTCCTAAATAATAAGGGCGCAGGCAGGCTTTCGTCATGAGGTATAGGACCCTTCTTTCAAGAGATGACAGTGAACAGTAAAAATTATTTCGATATGCTTGAATTATTTGCAGTCTTGCAAATGGCACACCTCCAACCAAACGTTTTCTTTCAACAAGATGGTGCGCATCCACACTGGGGCCGAACAGATGGATTGGGCCCCCTCGCAATCCCGATATAACCCCACTGGGCCTTTTTCTTTTGAGGTTATGTAAAGGACCTGGTATTCCGTTCAAAAGTTGGTACTGTGGTTGCAGTTGCTTCTTTGACACCCCAGATGCTGGAAAAAACATGGCGTGAAATCGAGTACTGTTTGGACACTTACACATATTGAACTTGATCAGTTGTTATTTCAAGCAAAGCAAAGCAATTCTCTGTATCTCGTATACTTTGTTTTTTGTGTGTACATGAAATGTGGTGAATAATTTATGGCCACTCTGTACTATAGAAAGGTAAATGGTGGAAGGCAGAAAAGAAAATTCAGGAAAAATACAAAGCACTTTCTAGTGTGATGGCATTTCTATAATTTCTATGATTATTAAACTTTCATGCAACTATGTTACTTTATTCAGTAAATAATATCAATACATTCAATCCACAAACTAGTAATTTAGAGACTATTACTGATATATTTGGTATTCATAAGGACCAAGAGCTTAACTAAAGACAAAACTTTAGGTTCTTTCTGTAAGAAAATGAACAAATAACTTAAAAACCTACAACAGTGCAATTTGTCTATCAATACAGATTTCTGGAGGGTTTTTTTATATAATAATTATGAAACACACTGGTAACACATTCATAATGTATAAGTCAATAACAAGAATTAATTCAATGTTATCATTTACTAAGTTAAAATAAATTCAGATTCAATTATATTTTTGTAAAATCAGTTTTATGGTATTCACATTCAAAAGTATCATTTTAATACAGAGAACAATTTTACTTTACATTAATCTTTTCCTGTCTGTGTGTGTATTGCAACATCCTGCAAAAGAGCTTCTTCTTAATATCACACTATTCTAAACCAGAGTTATGGTCTCAAATGTTGTGAACTACCGTTTGCATTTTAGTTATATAGTGACACTCCAGTTCCCTCAACATTCAAACTATTACTTTCATTTTTATCCACGTACATCTACGTATTATCTTAATATCATTGTCATCTTCCTGTTCACAATTACCAAACTTCTATACCCATCATCCACTGTTCTTCTTTCACTCCTCTCTTTACCACTACATCCTGGATTCTCTTTTCAATCTAACTCTCTGTCTTCCTGTCTTTCTCCTTCCTGATGGGACCCACTCCAGCAATCTTTTTCACCTTTCCACATGTAATTATAAAATATGCGTCTATAGTTCTGCTTCATCCATCAAAGCAAAACTCAGGAAGCCAGGTTTTTTTTTTATTTTACTGGTAGCAGTGTTGCAGTTTTTTTCTTCACCAAATGTGAAAAACGGACAGCTTCTCCACTTACTGCCAAAGTAATTTTGGCAGTTCAGATAATAACCATCCAATGATAGGATGATTGCCAGTAACAGTAGCTGTGCGGCCTCAGGCGTGGCCTCGTGCATTTGAACATTGGGACCATGAGTTCGAATCTCACTAAAGGCACAGATGTTTGTCTACGCCTTTCTGTATTATCCTGTCCTGTGTACAGGTAGAGGCCTTACGACAAGTTGATCACTCATCCAAGGAGTTCTAATACCAAATATTTAAACAGATCACGTAACCTCCAAGAGAGGCGTCCAAGACCCACACTGGGTTGTAGAGCCAGATATTATATGAGATAGGGTGTTTAATAAATAACAGACTGGAAAGACTGTAGAAAAAAGTGTGCATAACCTAACCTAAAGCATTTTCCTGCAGGAATTGAGGAAAGCTTTTCAAAAATTCCAGTATCCAGGGTGAGATTTGAATCTGTGACTTTCCAACCTTGAAAACCAATCAGCCATGGCTGTACAAATTCTGAATCATAAAACTGATGTAACTGAACCAAAATATTAACATGGTGCTAACGGGCTTCGACCAATTTGTATTCTGGAGATTTGAAACGTGGCAATTTCAAGTCTGAGGATTTTCTTAGTTCTCTGTTCTTCAATGTGAACTCTAGAATACCTGCATAATGTTGAGCTTAAAATTCTGTACTGCTCCCCCAATATTGTCAGGGTGATTAAGTCGAGAAGAATGAGATGGGCGGGGCATGTAGCACGCATGGATGGGGCCAGAGGTGTGCACCGGGTATAGGTTGGGAAGCCTGGGGGGAAGAGACCTCTGGGGAGACCTAGACGTAGATGGGAGGATAATCTCAGGCGGGATCTATGGGAGATAGGAGTTGAAGGAAACTGGATTTTGTTGGCCGAGGACAGGGTCCGGTGGAGGGCTTTGGTTAATTCGGTGATGAACCTTCGGGTTCGGTAAGCCATCTTAGTTAGTTAGTTAGAATACCTAGCATCATGAAATACAACTATCCCATCTTATTCAATACTTTGTAATGTCTGCAGTTAATACAGTCCATAAATCAATCTTAGCTGCTGACACACGTGATAATACCCTAAGAAATTACAACAGGATAAGCAGTTATTACTTATCTACTACAGTAATGAAAACATGTTGTAACTGAAAGATAATACAGTTTAATGTGTTTACGGTATATAGTTTATGGACATGAATAATTCAGTTCTTAGTTACATATTCAAAATATTTTCACTTGGTGTGATGTTAGGTAAGAAAATATGATCTACACATATGTGAAATTTTCCACGAGTTTGTAAATTAAACTGAGCACTTAATCAAGCGAAATTAAAATGAAGAACGAACACAGAACTCTACAAAATGTTTAAAAATCACAATTAACTTTGATAAGAAGCACCATATTTAGAAGGTGGGTTGTTTGTAAGTTTGAAATACACTTGGAAAACCTATGAATAGATGGGAGGACAATATTAAAATGAATCTTCTGGGAAAAGAGTAAAGTAAAGTTTGTCCCACTATACGCCATGTAGGCGCTTGGGGGGAGAGGAGGTATAGCTCCTCTCTTCCTTGACCTCGGCACTAGATGGGGGTGAGTGGTCAGCATCACGCCCCGGCCGGCTTTACCCCCGGGAAAGGACCCCGGTACCCATTGTAGAGGAGGCTGGGTGGGCCCCAGAGCCGGTCTGGACGCAGAGGCTAGAGGAAAAATCCTCTGCCCCGGTCGTCCAGCCCTTAGCTAGTCACTATACTGACTGAGCTATCCCGGCTCATTCTGGGAAAAGAGTGCAAGACTGTAAACAAGATTAATCTGACCGAGGACATGGACTGGTGTCAGGCTACTGGACGCAGTAATGAGCCTCCAGGTTCCATAAGAGGTGGGAAACTTCTTGGCAAGCCTAGGATGTCAGCTTCTCAAGGACTGTCCTCTACGGAGTTAGCGATGTAATAAAATAGGTTTGCTAATATTTATCCAAACATCTCCTCCCACTCAATGACACAAGTGGGCTTACTAGTCACACTGCTGATAATCAGAAAAATAAATTATGTCACGGCTGTGAGACATCCAGACATCTGAACCGCACATCTCTAGACCACAGCCCCTGCTACCAGACAGTACACGTAACAATATTAAAATATATGGTATTTACAAATAACATTTTTAATTTTTAACTAATTTAGAACAAAACGTTATCATTTGCGACATCAGGAGAATGGAAAACAAATGAAAACAGTCAGATTCAGACCCACAACCGAGAAAACCTCAAATCCTACAACAGAAAAATGATAACCCCAGTGCAAAGACATCAAACATCCACATTTGACTGAAATACGTAGTTCAAGAGACTGGACTGTGAACTGAGTGCGTAAAAGTGACAGACAGGAATAAACCAAAGTCAACATAACACATTGGGATGCTACAATACACAAACAATAGCAAATATTACACCAACCCACTGTATAGTAAGTACCAGTATTAGAAATTAAAGTTACTTGTAAAAACATAAGGTAACAGCTCAGACTAGTCTACAGTCTAGACCAGTGGTATTCAACCTGGGGTACGTGAAGACATCTTAGGGGGTACGTGAAATTTTATAAAAAATATTATTTTATAATAAACACTGAATAATCAGGGCCAGATTTAGGGTTAGCCACAGGAGAACCGGACGTAAGGACAAAGTTGAAGAAAAATTATATCTGGGGGTTCTAGATGATACGTTTCTCTGAAATAAGATAACTGAAAGAGGGGACTACGTCTCACAACTTTTCCTGTTTACTTCTTAAATGACAAATATCATGCTCATGATATTTAATAAACAAGTTCTACCTTAAACAAAACAGGCCATATGACCATTACGAATTTCAATTTTTTTAACGACGTTTACGAAAGAGTTTTGTCCTTCATTTTCAGAATCAAACAGAATCTTTAAACGGACATTTTGGGTGACTTACCACGTCAGTAAAGTCAGAATGCATGAAACTATACCTTCACTCTTCCATACATCAGCATGGACCTGTGCTTAGTCAAGAACCAGGGATAACTTTACGAAAATTTTAAAAAATGCAAATAAATTTGATAAACGCTTTGTTCACAAATTATTATGGAATATAGATTTGGCTAAACCTAACAATTTATATAGGCCTAGATTAAATCTGTAACCCTTCATTCCAGGGCACAGATTCCTGCGTGAGGGCGGACAAAGCATTCTGATCGCGAATACACGATTAGTCCAACGTGCAATGGAGGTTTCTGAGACCAGCAGTCTCTCCCCTCGTCACGTTGCCGTGCACATGCGTCATTCCGCAATTAGTTATGTAAGCATGTCGCAGCCAAAATAATTACTCCCAAACGCTGCGGCTTCTTAAGAAATATGCCGGAATATTTTATGAAGATTCGGAATTCTAAAAGTGAAACTGTGAAAGAAAACTCTCACTTCAATCACAGTCACCGCAATGGAGACAATGCGTTACGAAATTTTGATTTTCGTTGCTGTAGTAGTAACACAAGCCACAAGATGAAATAACTTGCCGTAGTCGGGGCAAATCTGTGCGCTCTTGATGAGTTAAAAAGTAAAAGGCATGGAGATCAGAGTAGCAAATACTGTCCACACGACAAACATTATTTCCCAGTGGCAGTGCTTTGTATCTCGCCGTCTATAATGTTTTTGGTTTGCACATTATCAGCGTCGTTTTATTTCTGCCCGCGAGCCAGTAACGCAGGCGAAACGCACAGATTCGTCCCGACTACTGTAGGAAAATCGCTACGTTTCAAATTATGGATCTTCGTCTTCGTGTAGAAAAGGGAGACACCCATTCTGTGAGCAAATCAACAGATCGGGAATAGCTCGGTCTACTGGATCCAACAGAGTAGGAGTGTCCATTTCTTACCTGAAGGAAGATGCCCCCAAAGACACACAGAGTAGAACGTTACGTCTTTCGAAAAAAAAAACTGATCGTCGTTTCTCATTAATTCATTAAAATGTACGTAGAATTCCGCGTGCTCATTCCGTTTGGCAGAAATCCCCAAGCATCCAAAACCTTAGTGTACGCTACAGCCACCGCAACGTCGGTAGAGTCTGCACGAGCCGGAAGCAATGCGCGCTGTCCTCAATACGGGAGGCCGGATTTTGCGTTTGAGGTTTCAGTCATTCAACACCGTCGTGACGTAGCATTAATTTCTGTCTGAAGCTGTTACCAAGAGGAACGTCAGCGAAGATTTCCCTCACACATCTTTGCCATTCCAAGAATCAACGCCTACGTCTTCTGGCACAGTTGACGAAGCAGATATTGGCTCTTACTGGGTTTCGACAGATCACAGTAGTTCTGGAGCCATCTTCAGGCTCATAATTCATAATATTTGAATATGTTGCACTTATCATGAAATTACAAAATAAATATATATATATATACACGCTGAAAATATCGGCACACAAAGTTTTACGACCGCTTAAACAGGTCGTAATAAATTACACAGAC